TACAATGTAGTGATTCAACACTGCCATATGTCACCCAGTGGTCATCATGACAAGTGCCCTCCTTAATCCCCATCCCCCCAACCCCTCCCCTCGGGGAACCATCAGTTTATTCTCTATAGTGAAGAAGAGTCCGTTTCTTGATTGGTGTCTTTTTTTTTTCTTTGCTTGTTTGTTTCTTAAATTGTACACGAGTGAAATCCTACAGTATTTGTCTTTCTTGGGTTGATTTATTTCGTTTAGCATTGTACTCTCTAGCTCCATCTGTGATTGCAAATGGCAAGATTTCATTCCTTTTTATGGCTGAATAATATTGTTATATACCTGTAATGCATTTCTTTATCCATTCACCAATCAGTGGACACTTGGGCTGTTTGCACAGTCCGGCTGTTGAAAATAACACTGCGATAGAAAGGAGGTTCCTCCAAAAGGTAAAAATAGAACTACCTGTGATCCAGTAATGGCACTCCTGGGTATTTACCTTAAAAATACAAACACTAATTCAGAGGGATACATGTACCCCTAGGTTTTAGCAGCATTACTTACAATAATGACCCAGCTTCAGTCTCTAACACTGTCCCAGGTGCGGTTGCTGCCTCAAAAACAGCCCCAAATTTAGAGGCCTCGAATAACTTTCGTTTTGCTTAGTTTTGTGGGTTGGAAGTTTGAGTGAGTGGGGCTCAGCCGAACTGTTTGTCCCATCCCCCTGGCTTCCGCTGGGGCGTTTGAAACCCAGGATCTGCTTCAGAGACGGCTTCCTCACTCACGGGGGGCCTCCCACCTGCCACCATGTGACATCGTGTCCTCCAGGGTCTCCTGAATGGGCTTCTTGCAGCGAGGTGACCTTAGGGTGCTTGCACTTTTTAGACGGTGGCTGGCTTCCAAGACTCAGAAAGTAGAAGTTGCCAGGCCAGCTCCCGGAGCTGCCGCAGCGTCGCTTCCCTGTGCTTCATTGGTCAGAGCAGTTCTAGACCTGCCCAGAGCCGAGGGGTAGAGACAGACTGTCCCTCTCAATTGTGGAGCCGGGGGAGCGGGGAAGGGAGGCCAGACCGAGCTGCAGGAGACCAGCGAGGTCCTCTATGCTCTGCTGTCCACGGTCTAGCCCCCCGCAGCCTCCGCGGGCCTCCCTGAGCTATCCTGGCGCCCCTGCCTCTTGCACATGTTCTCTGTGTTCTTAACCTGGTGAGCTCTACCCGTTTTGCCGATCTCCCCTGAATCAGGATTTCCAGACCCTCCATGGACTGTAAGAGTCCAGTGACCCATTGTTTTGTCCCCCAACTTATTTTGAAAAGTTTCAACCTACAGAAATGTTGCGACATGACACCCACAGACTTTCCACTTAGATTCTCCAACTAATAACGTTGTGGTCAATATTTATTTTGGCCTTTCTGTGTGTGCGTGTGTGTGCGCGCACGCAAATCTTTTTGAACCATTTGTGAGTCACAGGCGTCAAGGCATGGAGTCAAATGTCCGTCATTTAATGTGAACGTGGCGATATTACCTGTATAGTCTGTAGCTGGGGCTTTGCCTCTTGTCCAGATGATGGCCTCTAGAGCTGTTTTTCTGAATCAGGATCCACTAAGAATCATGCAGTGGGTTTCACTGGCCCATGGGATCCCCTGTTACACCCAAATTCTCTTGCTTTAGAAGACTTTTCTTGAGTGAGGGTTAAACCCCTCGACCTGGCACAGACCCTTCCCGCACACATCCTCATGCCTTGTTCCTTCTAATCCTTCAGGCCCAAGTGCCTCCCCCACCAAGAAACTCTCCTTGACTAGCCCCCCCACCCCCACCCCCGCCACCATCATACTTTACCGTATCTCCTGCTCAGTTTCCTCATGGATCGCATTGTGTTGCTCTCTGAAAATCTTGTGTGTTTACTTTTTACTTGTTAATGTCCTTAGGTCAGTTCCAAAAGGGCAGGGACAGTATCTACTTTTTTTTTTTTTTTAAAGATTTTATTATTTGAGATTGAGGGAGAGGGAGGGAGAGGTAAAACGAGTGGGAAGGAGAGGCAGAGAGAGGGAGAAGCAGACTCCTGCTGAGCAGGAAGCCTGATGTGGGGCTCGGTCCCAGGACCCTGAGATCATGACTGAGTCCCAGGCAGAAGCACAACTGACAGGGCCAGCCAGGCACCCGGGAAAGTATCTGCTGGTTCTCCTTGTTAGTCCCTGGCCTGGTGTCTGGCATACGGCAGATGCTCAGTAATTCCTTGAATGAATACATGAGTATTTCATGGGGAAAATTTAATGAATTGGTGAAAACAATTTTGGGTTGGCTGAGCTTCATGTCCCAAACCTTTTTACCATGTCATAAACCTCTTGGCACGGCTGCTAAGAATTTCTACTCTGTCTTGGGCTATCGCCCAGCCTACCTATGTCTGCCCTCTGCTTTGCTCAGAGGTATAACCTCTGCCCATAAATTTACCAAATTGGCTTTATACAGAGCCCATTTGGGCTGAAACAAAGTCATATCCTACCGCTGAACCACCCAGGTATCTCTGCTTGCCATTCGTGGGTCCCCATCTGTGAGCAAGAGACAGGTGTGTCCCTAGCTATGGGAAAATTCCTTTTTCATGGATAAAAAGAGCATAGTTCACCCATGGGAGCTGACCTTGGGCTGTGGTGATCGGGTTCATTTGCAGACAGGCCAGAAAATACCCCATGACCCCAAGTAATTACCCCCATGTGCGGCTCCCCCCGCCCCCTCCCCTTGCTGTACCTGTACCCTCTCTTCAGGCCACTGTGGACATCCGTCCCACAGGCTGTGCCTACCATTAGGTACTCCCTCCCCCAAACCGAGTACTCCCCTGCATCCAAGGAGTGAAAACGCACGATTGCAAAAATTAAGTATCCTCTGCCTCTTGTGTTATCCTGGCTAAATCCGTTCCACGCCTCCTGTCCAACTGCACACACTAATCCAGGGAGAGAGAACTGGGTTGGAAATAGTTTTTAACTATTACTCTTGAGTATAGAAATATTATCTTCACAGATCAGATGTTACTTCCTTCTCTCGAAGAAAGGAAAAGAACTTCCAGATGGGTCCTTGGCCCAGGGCTTGCTAACGGCAGACCATAGCTGTGTCCCTTGAGATCGGCCTTACTGCAATCTTTACAAAAGCTGAGGTGACAGAAATTCAGAGATCGACACTTTTACACTTGACCCACTACCACAAAAATCCAGAGGATGGAGGGAAATTGGGACTGTCGTGCAGCCAGCCCAATTCCATCAGTTCCTGTCTTTCGGCCTCATATGAGAGTTCCGTCGGGAGAGATGCAACTACCTGATATTTCCACTTGCTGGAGGAAATCCAGATGTGCTTGGGCATGAGGGTCACATTGAGTCAAAGGCCACCGAGAAACAGGCACCGAGTACCTCTGTGCTTTCACGCTTCCTGCCCAAAGTTAGGGCATCCGTTTCCCTTTGTGTACGATGCGATCGTATTAGGTACCAGATCTGTGTCGTCCTTAGGCTGGCTCTCTGCTGGTGCCACCGAGGGGATAACACTTGAGGATCTCGCCCCTACACTTTGCAAAAGGCAAGAAACAGTGCTGCTCGAGGCACCAGCCCCAATGCTTATTGTCAGCCTTCCTCCCTCATCCTGGTATCCTGAAAGCTCCTAAGACCTGTGCACCCACCCCATTCCAGAAGCGGGCCGGCTGGGGACGGAGTTTCACTTTGGTGATGTACACCCAAATCTTGTTTAAGGTGTCAAGTCTTCGGGCTTCACTTGGCATGCACCTGAGTATCTGGTCTGCCCCCCCCCACCCGCAGCGGGTGCAGTGGCCTCCCCAGTGAAGCCCTTGTCCTGAGCCGCAGGGGGCTCGCCATTGCTCTGAGCTGGAAACCGGGCCTCACGGAGGGCCGCTCGTCTCATCCATTCAGTCAGAGTCTGGCTTTTCCAGGGGCAGTGTATTAGAAAGACACGGGAGACTGAGAAGTAATAGCTTTACTTTGGACTGAAGCTGTGAAGGCATTCATAAAATGCCAAAGAAAAACGCTCCTCGTTCAATTTTTGCAATCTCGGAGCCTCCGAGGACTGCACTCTCACCACGGACCCACAAAGCCCGCCTCTAGGGAGCAGAATGTCCCTCCCACTAGCAGTGACTCCCTTTGCTCAGCAGCCCCCCGCCCGACTCACACTCACCCAGTCTGCTGGCCCGTTGAGTTCCCAGGCGAGCCGGGCTAGCCACAGTTTCCGTCCCGTGCGCCGCAGGCAGACGTGTGCCCGGGACTCCGCTCTCGGGGCCTTTACTGCTCTGTTCCTCCGAGGAACGGCGGCACCAGGAGAAGAACAGAGCAGCACGGAAGAATCAACACACGAAAGCCTTAAACCTACGGCAAGCAACTCCGTTGTCTGGAGCTGAAACAGTGGGTTGGATGACGGTTTTATAAGACATACTCCGGGTTTTGTGTACACAGCACATGCTGTTTAACTGATTTTATTATGTACCTAAATATACAAACAGATTTAGGGAAAACCTCCAGACTCGTTTTCCAAGTGACTGGGTAGCCAAAAAAGAAAAACAAGGGAGAGGGCAAATTCATGGCCCTTAGATTTTGAACAGAATGAGAAGACACTTATTTACATAAGATCTTGGGGGAGATGAACCCCACAGACGAGCCCGCCTCGGAAGAGCGGGTTTTCCACCATCTTGCACTGACCACAGACGCAGGTGCCCGACAGCGGACTTCCCGCCGAGGCTCCGGGGCGGCTCACACGCCAGAGTTCGTGGGCAGCGGTACTGTGCACAGCACTGCCCCGCAACAGTATGTTGTAGAACATACCCACTGCAAGTACTTACGGGGTGCAAATCAGAAACTCATGAAACGAGAGGCCACTTTCGACACAGGGAAGAGGACGGTCCCTATACAAAGGGTTCACAATCTGGACTGGCCCTTGAAGATGGCAAACAGTGTTAGAGGAACATCGTAAACCAACAACTCAAACATGAAAAAAACAAAACAATGCGGTACCATGTAATTACCAAAGCCTTTTTTTTTTTAGGTAAGGGTTTCAGAAAACCCAGGGATAGATTTTATATCACAAAATGGTCCATATCGCCCAAAAATGTCTTTTGATTGGACAGTAAAATAATATTTGTTGGAAGCTAAAAACTGAGATAAAGTACAGGCCATGGGGAGGGGTAGAGCTTTAATTTCTCCAATTTTCTTCCAAATCAACTTATTGCTAGGGTTCTCGTGGCAGAGGAAGAGGTGATAGCTTTCCACGGGAGCACATTTGGGGTTGATTTTGGCGATGTTCCAAGTCAGGGCAATGCCCTTGGGTCTCAGCACCCGTTTCACTTTGAGTTCGGGCTTCTGGGGAGGAAGCGTGTCCCGGATTTTGTCTACCAGTTCAGGGAGTAGTGGTGGCGGCTCTGGGAGAGGTGGCAAGTGCTCAAAGGACTCAAGAACCTAGAAAGACATTTATAAAGTTTAGCAAGCTGGACTGGCCGTTTTTGATTCAAGTTCTCAACTGCAGTTCTAAATACACTGCCTGTTCTCTGACCCATTTACCGGAATCACGAGAACATTCAAGACTATGTGGGGCTGGGTCCAGTCTTCTTAACCATCAGCTTCTTTTGGCATTAAGATCTCCATGCTCTGGAACCACTGATCCAGAATGGGTTAGGTCCCAGACATGCTGGATAAATATTCCATCATTTCCAAACGTTCCATTTGTGTCCCCAAACGTTGTGCTAATTTGCACGAAAAGTGTGAGTGTCCAACACCCATTTCCCTCCACCCTCATTGACCATGGCTATTACTCTTAAAAATCTTTTGTTGGGTTAAAAAAAAATACATATTTAACCTCCAGAGTTTCTGGAAAATTCAATTAAATTATTTTGGTTCCACAAGTAAGCAGAGGCACAATAGCACATCTTGGAAAAGTACAAGCTGAAATGTGACCCAGGTGTTTCGGTGCGAGTACAGTGGGTATGTCCACTCAATCTGGAATGCGTATTCCTTGACAGAGCGGCTCCGATCCATACCTGGGCTGCATTTTGTGCCACGGGGGTTGTCTCCTTTGACATCAAAGCAGCTTTTGCAGGTGACTCCACGGCGGATGCTGAACTTCCTGTGAACACAAGATTTGAGAAGTAAAATCTATCTGAAATGTAATCAATTCCATAGCCTTTAAGCAAAACTAGTTTACGCCTTAGGTGGTAATTAAATATGAACTATGGGTTGAGCAGTCTACAGATGTCAATTAGGGGGGGCACCTAGGTGGCTCAGTGGGTTAAAGCCTCTCTCTGCCTTCAACTCAGGTCCTGATCCCAGGGTCCTGGGATTGAACCCCGCATCAGGTTCTCTGCTCAGCAGGGAGCCTGCTTCCTCCTCTCTCTCTCTCTGCCTGCCTCTCTGCCTACTTGTGATCTCTGTCTGTCAAATAAATAAATAAAAATCTTTTAAAAAAAAAATGTCAGTTAGGTTCTGTTGGGTAGGTAGTGTTGCTCGGGTTTTACACCTTCTGTTTCTGTCTACATGCCCTATCCATTACCAAGAAGGGAGTGACAGAACCTCCAATTATAAATGTTTATTTTTTAATCATTTCATCCTATCAGTTTTTGCATCAGGAATTTTGAAATTCTACAATAACATGCCTACACATGTAGGTTTCCTTGGGTCTTCCTGATGAAATGGCTTCTTTATCATTATGAAATAGGTTTTTCTGTTATTAATTTCAGAGGTAGAACTTAGTCATTCATCAGTTGCATGTAACATCCAGTGCTCATCACATCACGTGCCCTCCTCCATTCCCATCACCCAGTTATCCCTTCCCCCGACCCACCTCCCTTCCAGCAACCCTCAGTTTTTTCCCTAGAGTTCAGTATCTTTATGGCTTGCCTCCTCTATTTTACTCTTATTTTATTTTTCCTTCCTTTCCCCTCTGTTCATCTGTTTTGTTTCTTAAATTCCACATATGAGTGAGATCATATGGTATTTGTCTTTCTCTTACTTACTGCGCTTAACATAATACTAAGTTCCATCCACGTCATTGTAAATGGCAAGGTTTCATTCTTTTTGATGGCTGAGTAATATTCCATTATAGATACAGACCACATCTTCTTTACCATTCATCTGTTGATGGACATCTCAGCTCTTTGCATAGTTGGTTACTGTGGACATTGTTGCTATAACCATTGTTGTGCATGCACCCCTTCGAATCACTATGTTTGTTTCCTTTGGATAAATACCCCACAGTGCAATTGGTGGGTTGCAGGGTAGCTCCATTTTAAACTTTTTCCAGGGTGGCCACAGCAATTTGCATTTCCATCAACAGTGTAAGAGGGTTCCCCTTTCTTTGCATCCTCACCAATATCTCGTTTCCCAACTTGTTAATTTTAGCTTTTCTGACCGGCGCGACGTAGTATCTCATTTTGGTTTTGATTTGTATTTCCCTGATGCTGAGTGATGTGGAGCATTTTTTCATATGTCTCTTGGCCACCTGAAATGGTCTTCTTTGCCTCTGGTACTGTTCCTTCTTCTGAAGGGTTTTATGATAATACAGTCACTCCAGCTTTGTCATGATTAGTGTTTGGGCGCTTTTGCGTAGTTGTCCTCTTCCCTCCTTTTAATTTTAACCTACCCGTATATTTATACTTAAAGGGCATCATATAATTATCATATAATTTGGTCTTGTTTTTTTATCCAGTCCAACTATGTCTGCTTTTTCATGTTAGACCATTTATGGTTTTCTAATTATCAGTTTAGTTGGGTTTAAATCTACCATCTTGCCTCTGTTCTCCATTAGCCTTATTTGTTCTTTGAATTTTCTTGTGGCTTCTCTTGGATTATGTAAAATATTCGCTGTCCCCACGTCTTCTATAGCAAAGAGTTATCTGGATGTTCAACTAATGGCACCACCCAGGGCCCCCTTTTTTGATAATGAAGGTTTGCCCACAACAACTTTTATATGAAAAAGTCTTAATTTTGTTTCCACTTTTGAATGATACTTGGTGGATATAGAATTTTAGGTTAAGGAATTTTTTACCCCAGCCTTTCAATGATGTCATTTGACTGACATTTGGTTTGCATAGTTCCAACTGAGAAAACTGAATTCTTTGTTCTTCTCTATATTTTATGATATAAAACATTTTTTTCTTGAAAAACGTTTCGTTTTCTGTTCACTTGTAAGATTTTTCTTTTTATCACTGGTTTTCAGGAATGGATTATGGTATACCTCTATACGGTTTTCTTTGCATTTATCCTGCTTGGAATTTACTGAAGTTCTTAATTATGTGGGTTTGTATGTTTCATTAAATTTAGAAGACTTCTGACCATATGTGTATGTCGGACCACTTGATATCATCTCACAGTTCATTGAAAATCTGATTCCTCTTTCCCAGTCTTTTTTTTTTTTTCCTTCTCTTTTAAATCCTTCTTTAATTTGGGTAGTTTCTTTCCAGACTATTGGGTCAGGTACTGTTTCCTCCAGTGTACCATTTTTTTCTCCTTCTTTGTATAATATGCAATTTGTATTCCATCCATGGAACTTTAAGTGTTCTCTTTTTTAAAATTTGGTTCTATTTTGTATCTTTAATTTCTATTATTCTTTCCTGTTCACTTCTTATCTTTGAGCATATTCCTTTTTTTTTAACTTTAAAAATTTTATTATGTAATAATTTATTATGCAATCTCTGCCCCCAGTGTGGGACTCGAACTCATGACCTCAAGATCAAGAGTTTGCATGCTCTTCTGATTAAACCAGCTGGGTGCCCCACTTTGAGCATATTTCTGTAAGTTCCTTCAAAGTCCTTGTCTGTTAATTCTGTCATCTCTGTCATTTCTAAGTTTATTTCTATTGACTGATTTTTCTCCTGGTTATGGATTCCATTTTTTGGTCTCTGTATCTCTCATGATTTCTTTTTTACTGGATGATGGATATTATAAACTTTAAAAAAAGATTTTATTTATTTATTTGACAGAGAGAGATCACAAGTAGGCAGAGAGGCAGGCTGGGGCACGGGGGAAGCAGGCTCCCCGCCAAGCAGAGAGCCCGATGGCGGGGCTCGATCCCAGGACCCTGAGATCATGACCTGAGCCGAAGGCAGAGGCTTAACCCACTGAGCCAGCCAGGTGCCCCGGGTATCATAAATTTTAAATAGTTGTGTGTTGAATTCCATTCTCTTCTTTTGATAGAACACAGTGGGCTTTGTGTGATAAGCTATCAAGTTATACGTAGTTCAGCTCAATCCTTTCAAAGCTTTTCAGTTTTATTAGGGTAAGGCTTACAGCTGCCTCTGTTCTAAGATGAGTTTATACCCAGATGGTCCGTAAGAAACTGTCACTACAGCTGTCACTGCAGCTGGTCAGAACTGAAACATTTCCCACCTCTGAGCATAAAGCTCTTTGGTCATTCTTTGCCAAGGCTTATGGGGTTTTACTCTATGTATGTGTGGCGTAATACTTCAGCAAGGACTCAAGAGGACTCTGTGCTAGAGTCCCGGAGCCCTTTCTCTGAGTGGCTTCCTCATTCTGCCACTAGATTCTTCCCCTTCATTCTGGTGGCCTCAGCCTCTCTGAATGAGTCTCTTGTCTCCTCACCTGGAATGGCAAGACGGCCATCCTCTGCTTGGGAGTTCCTGTGCTGCACCACAGTCTAGGAAGAAAGCTGGGGCAGTCCGTACAGCTCATCTCACTCATCCCCCTCTCTAAGGGACTGTAGTCCTATACTGCAGTATCTGGAATTTTTTAAAAGTTAAGCCTGGGCCCTTGACTCCATCACTACTCTCTCTATATGCATTTATGACCTGTTTCTCATTACACTACTAAGACGTTACATCAGCACACACTTCTACTACATTCTTTTTAATGGCTGAATACTGTTATACTTTATGAATCTAATTTGCGCAATTAATCCTTTATTTCTAGAAATTTAAGGATTTCCAGACTTTTATTTTTCACAAACAGCACTGCCATGAGCATTTTCATACTTCCCTCTATACTTAACTTTAGTTTCTTTAGGTTACTAGTCACAGAATTTTGGGGTCAAAGCCTTGCATATTTGTAAAGCTTTTGATGTTGACAAAAGGTCTCCCAGAAAGATTTATACTCCCATTCACAGTATGTGAACTTACATTTCCTTTAAAACTCTTCAGTGGAAAATATGCATTAATTCAGTATTTTGGGGGGGGAATGTATACTATGTGTTAAGCATTGTGCTAAGAGGATGGAGACTTACAGATTAATAAAGCCACTGACGCTGGCCGGAGAGAATGGAGTCCTTTCAGGAAGTGATATGTAAAGAAACAATGACAGAGCAATGACATACAGCTATAATACAGGTGTGCCCCAAATACCAATGGTAAGGGGAGCCTGGAAGGAAAAATCCAGCCTAAGAGTCTGAAGTGAATATGAAAGAATGAAGAGTGGGGTCATCAGACATACCTGGGGAGACACAGTAGAATGAGGCAGACCCAAGTCAAAAGCGACTCATGTCTAGCTTGGGAAATTGGGTGAGCTGGTGATACCATTCATTAAGGCTGGGAATAATGGGAAACAGTCCAGGTTTGACCTGATACCTTTATTCAGAACTGGACACTCTACAAGATGAACAGATTCACATTATCATGAGTTGGCAGCATAAATGAGCATGGTCCATATGTCCAACTGCTAGATTTGAAACTGAAGCCCCCCCACCTTAGAGGTCTGACTTACTTTCTAAAGCACTGAATGAATCTGTGTTCTTTTTATTTTACTGTATCTCAAATCCTGTACCCTATAGTTTAGAAATGACTTAATAATCTTAATTAAAAAGTAACTGATTATTATAGGTTCCCAATTCATCTTTCAAATTTATATTTCTAATCTTCATCTTGGAACTGGAAATGGAAGGGCTTTTTAATTCTATCATGGGGTACCTGGAGATTCCAATGGTTCTAACCTTTGTTTGGATCCCAGTTGAAAGGGGAGAAGGAGCTGGCTATATATTTACTATGCTACTCCCCGTTTTTAAATAGTACATAATTTTCTAATGCTTAAATAAGTTACATTCCCAGATTTTATAAAGAGTAACAAGAACATTCAAGTGCAGTTATTAAGAGTTGAAACTTATTTGTAACTGATGACTAGCCCCAGATGACTACATTTTACTTCTTCCTGTTTAAATCTGAGAAAGAGGGCACTGCTGTCATTCTTCCTCTACATTTCCATGCTCTGCCCTAGTACCCTCTCACAGGGCTACTGATACCAAGAAGAAAGGTGTGTACTGGAAAAGAGATTCGTAATAGTCCCAGACAACCCAGCTATCTTTCAGTGAGTGAAAACATCAACCATTATACATCTGCATCATGGAAGACCACTCGACCATAAAAAGCAATACTACTGATAGGCAGCTGTGATGACCCGCAGGGGAATCATGCTAAGTAAAAGAAGTCAGTCTCAAAAAGATACATACTATATCATCACATGACACCCACGCATAATTGTGATTTGATTGTAGTGACCATTACATGAATACATGATAAAATTGCATTGAGCTATATATACACACTAACACACTAAAACAGACTTTATAAATGGGTCAAACGCTTTCTGGACTGTTCTTTTCCCTCTTTCTTAAAAAGGAAAGGGTGGGGGGGCAGGGACAGGGTGGCTGGGTTATGGACATTGGGAAGGGTATGTGCTATGGTGAGTGCTGTGAAATGTGTAAGCCTACTGATTCACAGACCTGTACCCCTGGGGCAAATTATATGTTAAAAAAAAAAAAGGGGAAAGACAAATCCTTTACCTGTGTTGCAGTTTGATAGGGCTTCTTTCGTCAGATCAATCACAGAATCGAATTTCTTCTTCTCTACAGCCTGAAAAATTGTTAGAAAACAAAGATTTGCCTCCATAGCAGAAAATATTCTTTTTAAAGATTGTATTTATTTATTTGACAGAGATCACAAGTAGGCAGAGAGGCAGGCAGAGAGAGAGGAGGAAGCAGGCTCCCCACTGAGCAGAGAGCCCGATGCGGGGCTCAATCCCAGGACCCCGGGATCAGGACCTGAGCCAAAGGCAGAGGCTTAACCCACTGAGTCACCCAGGCGCCCTGCAGAAAATATTTTTAAAAAAGAAAACGCTATAGCTTAATTGAACTCTATTATTAGGAGTGAGGGGCTGAGGAAATACTATATGGTTTCTGAGAATATGACTAAGCAAAGTCCGAGTTAGTTTGGTAAATAAGTAGGATTGTGAAATATGTTTGTCCCTAACTGTTTTAATATTTAAGCTAGACTGGAAATCTGGGTATGCTAACTAATCAGGCATTAATGTTACAGAGAATGAATGACAAAACTAAGTCACCCCCCCACCCCCACCAGGCAGCAACACTAAGTTCACAGAACTAACATACTCAGATGAACAACATTGAGAGACAAAATTTATTACTTACTGTAACATCTGTTTTAGCACCAGGTGAAGTACTAGAATTTCCTGATGTGTTTTTTCCAGTATCTGAAAAAAAATACCAACATTTGACAAATGTATTAAACTATTAGATATTTATGAACTTTGTAACATATGAGTGCTCAACACAATGACGATGCTCATTAACCGTTTATAACATAATCACAAAAAAGGAACTCAATTGACATAACCCATTCCAAAGACCGAGGAACCAATTCAAATAATAAAAAAAATCTAATTTGGGTTCAAAAGATTTTGTCCTTCTGTAACTTTACAACTATTAGTAACTCTTTTTTGAAAATCCATCTGTAAATAGATATGGCATTTGAGGAAACAGACTTGGAAATAAATGTACATATTCTTTATTCACAGTACCTCTAACCCAGACTCTGGAGATGACTGAGGAGCATTCAATTCAGAACAGGAGAAAACCTCAGATAAATGCTTACTGTCCCTTGTAAATATCTGATTCACAATCTGAACAGTCTGAGCTCTGGGGGCAACTGAGTGGCTGTGTAAGTGGAGGCAAAGCTTTCCGAAATCAAGATGCAAATACACTAAAATGTAAAACATGAACAGGAAATGGGGAGCTTTGAATGAGAACTTACAGGCCAAGAAGATAGCCATTTCAAGAGAAAGGAACTTTACTTGAGATCTGAGGGTAAAGATTTTACCTAAGTTGAATAAGACAGAAACTCTAAAGAGGAACAACTAAAAAACCCAAAAAGTTCAAAAAATCAAAGATGCTAAAGAATAGCCAAACTTTAAATCTTAAGATGAAACAAAAAAAACAAAAACCAAATCACTACCACCAACACATGCCAGGGCAAACAAATATTTCATGTAATGAAATATATAAAAGGTTAAGTAGTTTTGTAACTTACAAATCCATTAAACACTGAAAACAAACAAAAGGCCATAAATTAAATAAATAAAATAAAATCACGAGGTTAAAAAGAAACTTCAGTTAAATTAAGAAATCATTTATTTATTCAGATAATATTAATTATGGATATAGAAACATTTCTGAAAGTAGAATTAAAATTTTTATTTTATTGAATGATAATATTCAATTCTCCATTTTAATACAAATACTGATTTGAGGCTTTCTAATTTCATAGATCATATTTTAATCAACTTAAGATACCTGTTGGATTTGATGTATTTGGAGTTGTCAAATTAGGACTTTCCACAGAAATCAACATAACATCATCATTGTTACTAAAATGATAAAGAAAATTAAAAACAAAAATAAACTAAATATGCATTACCAGGCTGAAACATGCAATCAATGGTTAGAATTCTCTGACCCAGTAATGGATCCTTAAAACTTACCAAAGACCCATTTACAATGAATCCAAATATATAACCTATAAGTATACAATATACATAAATATACAATATATAAATGTCACTCTAGAACATATACTCGCCTTGATGAAAATGAAAAGTATAACTGAATAAAATACCAGTAAGACACTTGGACTCTTACGGATATAGGACTGTAACAAATAAGGCTATTAAGAAATTAGTCCTCGGGGTGCCTGGGTGGCTCAGTGGGTTAAAGCCTCTGCCTTCGGCTCAAGTCACGATCCCAGGGTCCTGGGATCGAGCCCCGCATCGGGCTCTCTGCTCAGCAGGGAGCCTACTTCCCTCTCACTCTCTGCCTGCCTCTCTGCCTACTTGTGATCTCTGTCAAATAAATAAATAAATAAAATCTTAAAAAAAAAAATTAGTCCTGCCACGATTCTACATTAATCACTGTAGTAGAAAAATTGACCATACATTGACTAAACTGAAAAAGATGGTAAATGACACTCATCATGGTTATTGTTCCCACTTGACCTTGACTCCTCTTTCATGAGTTTGACATTTACATCAAAATCTTTCTTAAGATCTTGACACACATTTCTTTGAGCCCATAAAATGTCTAAATGAATTTTCTATGCACAGTTATACCACTTTTTTATAGATTATTTTAATTTTCAGCTTTTGCATTTAGGTCTGTGTTCCATTTCAAATTATTTTTGTATATGGTGTGAGGTGAAGAGGGCAGGTTTGCTTTTCCCCTCTGGCTATTCCTGTAATAGTTGTTGATGGTCTTTTCTCCAATAAATTACCTTGGCCTCTTTGCTGAAAACCAACAGACGATATATAATAGTCTCTAATCTGGCCACCAATTTATGGGCCTATCCTAAGACAACACCATTGTCTTAATTACTATAACTTTATAGAACTCTTAAACTTAGGTAATGTGTGTCTTCCAACTTTGTTCTTCTAAAACTGCATTCATCTTCTAGGTCTTTTGCATTTCACTTAAGTTTTCAATCAGCTTGTTATTTTCTATAAAAAAAGGCTGCCAGGAGTTTGATTGAGACTGCATTAAATGTACAGAATGATTTCGGTGAAGTGACACTAATAATGAACTTGCCCATATACTTACTATCCCTAACCAGCCTTCCCACCCACACCTCCCCACCAAAATCCTATAGCACGGTGGTATGCTTGTTATAAAGGATAAATCTACACTGACACATCATTATCACGATCGAAGTCCATAGTCTACAACACAGTTCACTCTTAGTGGTGTACATTCCATGCATTTTGACAATATGTAATGATACATATCCATCATTACGGTATCATCCAGAATAGTTTCACTGCCCTAAAATTCCTGTGCTCTGCCTATTCATCCCTACTCATCAGCCCTGGAAGTATTTGATCTTTTTACTGTCTCCATGTTTTTACCTTTCCTAGGATGTCATGTAGTTGGAATCTTCAAAGCTCATTTCTTTTTTAGTACAGAATAATATTCCTATTGTCTGAACGTAATGATTTATTTATCCATTCACCTACTGAAGGAGATCTTGGTTGCATCCACATTTTGGCAATTATGAATAAAATTGCATTGTATATGACTTTATTTTCTCTTCTTCTTCTCCTTTTTTAAAAGGTTTTATTTATTTATTTTATTTATTTATTTTATTTATTTGACAGACAGAGATCATAAGCAGGCAGAGAGGCAGATTGGGGGGGGGGAGGCAGGCTCCCTGCTGAGCAGAGAGCCCGATGCGGGGCTTGATCCCAGAACCCTGGGATCATAACCTGAGCTGAAGGCAGAGGCTTTAACCCACTGAGCCATCCAGGCGCCCCTTTATTATCTCTTCTTAGCCTATCAATTATACTTTTTTCTTAGGTGGTTCCCTTAAAGTCTGCAATATACATTTACAACTAATCCACTTTCAAATAATACTATACTGCTTCACAAGTAGTACAAGTACCTTACAATAACAAAATATTCCTAATTTCTCCTGCCTGTTCCTTGTATCATTGCTGTTATTCTTTTATTTTAAGCACACACACACACACACACACACACACACACACACACAAACACACACTGTTGCTATTATTTTGAACAAACTCTTGTCAAATCAAGAAAAGAAATGTATTTCTGTTTTACTTTCATTCATTCCTTCTCTGAAGATCTTCTTGTCTTTCTGTAAATCTGATTTTCTGAGTTATTTTCCTTCTCTGTGAAGAATTTTTAACACTTCTTGGATGGTAGGTCTACAGGCAACAAATACCCTAAATTTTTGTTTGTCTGAGAAAGTGTATTTCTCCTTCACTTTTGAAGGACAATGCCAGAGAGTACAGAATTTTAAGCTGGTGGTTTTGTTCTCTCAATACTTTAAAATATTTCACCTCCACCCTCTTCTTGCTTGCATAGTTTCTAAGGAGAAGTTGGATGCAATTCTCACCTTCGCTCCACGCTGGGTAAGGTGTTTTTCCCTCTGGCTTCTTTCATTTTCTGAATTTTAAATATCTTATGCCTAAATGTAGTTTTTTGATATTTAGCCTGCTTAGTGTTCTTTGAGCTTGGTATTAACATTAATTTGGGGGAAATTCTTAGTAATTATGGCTTCAAACAGTTTTTGTTCCTTTCTCTCTACACATCCACACCCTTTCCCCTTCTGGTGTTCCCATTATGCTTAAGTTGTTTCCTTTGTAGTTTGTCCCACGTTCTTGTATTATTTTGCTGTTGTCTTGTTTCTGTTTACTCTTCTGAAGTTTCTGTTGTCAGACTTTCAAGCTCAGTGATGCTTTCCTCAGAGGTATCTATTCTACTAAGTCAATCAAAGGCATTCTTCATTGTTACTGTTTTGGTCTCAAGCATTTCCATTTCTCTGCTATTTATCCACCCGTTTTTGCATTTTTTTCTACTTTTTTTTTCACTGAAGCCTTTAGCAAATAGTTTTTCAAAATCCCTGGTCTGCTAAGCTGAACACTTCTGTCATATCTGACTCTGTTTCTGATACTTATTTAGTCTCTTCAAATCATGTTTCTTGCCTTTTAGTACATCTTGTGATTTTTTTTGTTGTTGTTGACAGGTGGACATGATGTACTGCGTAAAAGGACCCGTGATAAACAAGCCGTTAGTAATGAAGTGGTTTTACTAATACTATGACTAGCTCTCAGTCTTTCAAGTAAGCCTGTGCCTCTAGAGTGTGAATTTCACTAGCACTACTTAGTCAGTCACCCCCTTTAGGTGGTACAGATGGCTGGAGCAGCTGAAGTTGGGTATTCACTTCCTCCATATGGAAAGCTAGAGAGAGCAGGAGTTGGGAATTTCATTCAGCCAGGTCGGTTTAGTAGTGGTTTCTCCCTAGGACAAGGCCTTATTAAGAACAGAGTGGTCTGGAATATTCGAAAAGGTTCCTTTTGCCAACTGGCTACTGCAAGCATGAAGGGACTTTTCTCCAATATTCACCATCAGGACCTGGTAGAGTTCCTGGAGGTAAAACACAAAATTATGGGTCTCCCCCTGTAGTTTTTAACTCTTGATTTGTCTGTTCTGAGCCTCCGGCAATTACAATTTACATTTTCCTAAACTGGCATTGGTTCCCACGGAAGCTTCTGCTTTTCTGCTCCAGTTCCTCAATGTTGTGATTACCACTTCTGCCTGTTCGTCTCTCCGGTTTGGGGAGCAGTATTTTGCTCTGTGGCCTTACTTCTCTAATGGATCTAAGAAGAGGTGTTGATTTTTTGTTTGTTGAGCTTTTTACTTGTTAGAATGGAGTGATGACTCCTTACATGCTAGATCATGAATCTGAAATGTACCTCGTAGTTCTGAAGTTAGGTCTTACAGATGTTTTGGTAATCATATCCCTTTGTATATCATGTTCTTTGACATTATTGTAAACAGTATTGATTTTTAAATTTGAAATTCTGTTTGTTGCCCATATGCAGAAACACTATAAATAGTATGACTTTGTTATTTATATATACACACACACATACTTACACACATGTACAACATAAGAGGAACAGTATGAGATATATACACATATGTACCCTATGTAGAAGGACAGAAAAATATTTTATATTACACACATATTTATTATAGCCAGTACTTTCATCTCTTTCCCTTTGGACAGATCCAAAATTCCTCTGGTTTTATTTTCCTTCTGACTGTAAAACTTCTTTTAACATTTCTTGCAGTGCAGGTCCGCTGCTGATATATTCTCCACACCCACCCCAACATTTTTTAGTTTGAAAAATGTCTGTTTTCCCCTACAATCTGAAAGATATTTTCACAGAGTGTAGAAATTTTAATACATAGTTTTTCTTTCAACACTTTAGAGATGCCTTTTAGTTTGCAAAGTACGCAGCAAGAAGTCTCCTGATTGTATTTGTTTGTTCCTTTCTATGTAATGAGGTTTTTTTTCCTCTGGCTGTTTTTAAGATTTTCTAGTCACTACTTTCACCTTTTTTTTCCTTTTTAAACATTTATGGGTTTTGAATTTTCACCAAATTTGGAAAAATTTTAGATGTTACATCTTTCCTCTCTCCCCACCCCCACAGCCTGGTGAAACTACAGCGATATATATATCTATATATTAGACCACTTAATACTGTTCCAAAGGTCTCCGATGCTCTGTCCATCTTCTTTGTTAGTCTTTTTTCTCCCCATGCCTTTGTTTGAACAGTTACTATTGCTATTCTACTGTCTTTTTTAAAAATCAATAATTATCCTAATTTTAATGTTAATCCTAATCAGTGTACTCTTCACACTCAGTTATTGTCTTTCAAATTTCTTGAAATTCAACTTGGGTTTTTTTTTTTAAATCTGTTATTTTCATATTTTCCTTTATATTGTTGGGACATGAACACTCAATGATATAATAGCTGTTTTATGTTGTTGTTGTCCATCAAACATA